GTTTTTGTACATGTGGTAAGGAAGGGGTCTAATTTTATTCTTTTGTTTGTGCCTGTCCAGTCATCCTAGCTCCATTTATTAAAAGACTTTTCCCACTGAATTATCTCAATGCCTTTATTGAAAATCAAGTGCCCATAAATTTAAGGTTTATTTCTAGACTTTCAACTCCATTCCATTCTTGTACATGTTTATCTAATGCCAGCACACACTGTCTTGATTACTACAGCTTGTAGTTAATTCTGAAATGGTGATGTATGAATTCTCCAACTGTTATCATCTTTTTCAAGATTGTTTTGTATTCTGGGCTCCTTGTATTTTCATATGCATCTTAGGATCAGCTTAATATTTTTGTAAAACACAGCAGCTGAAATTTTCATATGAATTGTTTTCAATCTGCAGATCAATTTGGAGAGAAATGCATCATAAAAACATTAGGTCTTCCAATCCATGAACATAGGATGTCTTTCCATTTATTTAGTTTTTCTTTAATTTCTCAGAAAAATGTTTTGTAATTTTCAGTATTTAAGTTCTGTAATTCGTTCCTTAAATTATTTCTAAGTATTTTATGCTATTATAAATGAAATTTTCTTAATTTATTTTTGGATTACTCATTGCAAGTGTGTAGAAATACAATTGTTATAAATTGATTTGTATCCTGCAACCATGCAGAACTCACCTTTATAAAAGTCTTTTTAGTGGATTCCTTAGGATATTCTAAATATCATGTTATTTGCATGGTTTTACTTCTTTCTGAATGTTTTTTATTTGTTTTTCTTTCCTAATTTCTCTGGCTAGAATTTCGATTACAATGCCAATTAGAAAGGGCAAGAGTAGACATCTTTACCTTGTTCTTGTTCTTAGGGGTACATTCAGCCTTTCAATTGTTAAACATAATGTTAGTTGTGGGTTTTTCATAGTACCATTTATTAGGTTGAAGAACCCTCCCCCTCCCCCAGTACTTGAGATTAAACCCAGGCTGCTAGGCAAGAGTTTTATTACTGAACTATACCCCAACCCTTTTATTTTTTTTATTTTGAAACAAGGTCTAACTAAATTGCCTGGGCTGGTCTCAAACTGTGATCCTCCTGCCTCAACCTCCACAGTATCTGGAATTATAGTTATATGTCACCATACCTAGCTTAAGGAAGTTCCCTTTCATTCCTAGTTTTTTTTTCTTTTTATATATAAAGGTGCTGCATTTTTTCAAATGCTTCTTCTGTGTCTATTAAGATGATTTGTGTCACTTTTAGCTTTTATGCTATTAATATAGTATATAATTGTCTTAGTAAGCTTGTTTGCTGCTGTGACTAAAGGATATGACCAGAAAACTGTAGAGGAGGAAAGTTTATTCAGGGCTCACAGTTTTGGAGGTCTTAGTCCATAGAAGGCTGGCTCCATTTCTAAGGGCTCAAGGTAAGATGAACATCATGGAAGGACAGTATGGCAGAGAGAAGCAGCTCACATCATGGTGACCAGGAAGCAGAGAGAGAACTCTACTCTCCAGATACAAATGTATACCCAAAGCCACGCCCCAATTTCCACCCCCTCCAGCCACACCCTCCCACTTCAGTTAATCCCATCAGGGATTAACTCACTGATTAGGTGCTAAGGCTACAATCATTTCTCCTCCACGTGTTCTGTGTTCTTGCATTGTCTCACATGTGAGCTTTCAGGGGACACTTTACATCCAAACCAAAACAATAATGTTATTTGATTTTCAGGTGTAAAATCAACCTTGCATTCTTGGGATAAATCTCACTTTGTGAGAGTAATTATTTTTATATGTTGCTGGATTAGGCTAGCCTAGTATTTTGTTAAGGATTGTATCTTTAATTAATTCTATTTCTCTTACGCTTTATCAGTAAGTACAGTGTATGCAAGTATTATTAGCTAATCATTGCATCTGAGGATTCACTGAATGTTAAAGATAATCTATAAGGTCTTGACAGAATGGCAGAAAGGTCTCAGTGAAACTAGTCTCTCAAATTAAGACTTTAAATCGCCAAATGGCTTTATTTATTGTCTAATTTTTAAAATTAAGCATTTTGGGGAAAAATTATATATTAGAGTCATATACCTCATTTGAAGCCTGTTACTCTCAAGGTCTAGTTTTAGCACAGAGGATTATTAAAACACACACACACACACACACACATATACACAAACACAGAGTCCCAAAATACCTGTTTAAAACCAAGAATTGAAAATAATTAAAATACTTGGTGGAATGTTTACAAGAAAATCAAATGGGATCCAAGTCAAACACCATAAAAGAATTTGAAATCCTTTTTTCTTTCATTTTCTTCCCTAGTAATTTTTTATAGGAAACCACAAATAAGGACTTTTGTCTTGTCTCCCCCACCCCCAATTCTCTGCTTTCCTGTATCCATTCATTTTATCTTTTAGAAGAGAACTTGTACATTTGTACCCTGTAGGACAAATCTTACCTATGCATACATTTAATTGGATACATTTAATAAACAAATTTAATTAGTTGTCTACATTTGTAAGTTGGCAAATGACACAAAAATCTCTGTATCTGATTTCTCTTGAAAAAAATTTAAAGGGTTGGAAATTGCTGCCTTCATTTCACAAATGGTATTAGTGAATATCGACTTTTTCAAATACGACATATCACTTTGTCAGTTTTTATAAATTTCTATCGTACTACATATGGCTATTTTTACTATTTGTGGTAAAAACCTGAATTCTGTAAATATTGGATTTTGTGCCTTTTACCTTTGCCCATTGGCTCTATACTACACATGGCTATTTTTACCTTTTATAATATAGACCTGACTTCTGTAAATATTTTGTGCTTTTAATAGTTGTCCTTTCCAATGTATATTAGTCTTTTTCAGCTTCCTGCCAAATTTTTTCAATTTTTTTTCTCTTTTATATTAAGAGGCAAAATAAAAGTTCTTAGAGCTCTATAGGATCCTTTGAGAAATGACAAGAGGACAGAGATGAGCTGTAGCCTTTTGGGAACTATAACTAACAACATTCCTAGATCCCTATCAGTTAGAAATAAGGGGAAAATTCACAAACGGTTATAGTAACTTTGTACAAGTAAGACCCCTTGCAGCTTTGAGAGACAATAAAAGTGGGAAAGTGATGGTCCATCTGTGCTCAGGGTTGTTAGAAAAGTAGAGATCAACAAAAATTGGTCTCTTGGAAGACAGAGAGGAGGGAGAGAGAAAGTAAAAAGTATAGTAATAGCAAGGAGACCTATAAAAAGGAACTGAGTGTCAATGACTTACCATAAATAACATATATACCTCAAAATGATTGAGACAGGTGTTAGTTTCTCTGAGAAGTATCTCCTGTAGGACTGTATAAATCTTTGTGGGAAAAACCTTGTTTTATTTCAATCTATTTCTTTTTTAAAAAGAAAAACATTTATTTTTTAGAAGTAGTTGGACATAATACCTTTATTTTATGTGGTGCTGAGGGTCTTGCACATGCTAGATGAGTGTTCTACCGCTGAGCCACAATCCCAGCCCCTCTGTTTCTTTACTCTGCTTTTTAAATTTTTGCTTGTGTCTCAATGGCCTCAATTGTCTTACATATACTGAGAAAACTTTTTAGTATTTAATATTTATTGCAATTAATTTTCTTTCCAAACACAAGAGTTCCCTTCCCCTTCAATAAGGAGAGATTTTATTAAAAAGTTCAATGGAAAAATAAGACTTCAAAATCAAAAGTTGCATTAGCAATGCATGGCCATGTTTGGACCTTCCGATTATATTTTAGCGATTCTCTGCTTAATGAGAGGGAAGTAATTTGCATGTAATTTTCAAAACAAGAATGAAGGCTGGTTGCCTTAATGTGGTTATATACCAACTGTACAATTAACTGCTACTTCTTTTTAATCAGTTATTTTTAGAAAGCAGATTTAGTAATTGAATAATTTATTTATTATACTATTATGGTGTCAGGTGGACTTCAATAATTTAGATTGGAGTAGACAGGCATATTACACCTCTATGAAACCACTAAGTAACTATATAAAGAAGTTAGGCTTTATTATTTGTTCATCCGTGTCCCTACTTCAAGCTATTTAATATTCGTTTTATAAATGGAACTCAGAAAACAGTTATGCGTGCTTAAGTATATACATATGTTGTCTCAGTTATATACAAAATGCTTAGATTCTTGGACTATAGAAAACCCTCTAATTTTTATAATTTTCACTAATTCTCTCAGAGACTTCTTCTCAGTGACTTGCCTCACAAGCAAGTTAGAATACTGGATCCTTCCCTGTCTAACAAATTTTGCTACATTCTATTCCTGCAGAACTGCCCATAAGATAACTGGTCACCCACATTTTTCCTACACTGTTCAAATTATTTTTTTGGTTTTTTTTTTTTGAAAATACTAAAATATCAAATTTCATTAAAAAGTAATGCCTTGTCTGCTCTTTCTAGTTCTTGGCCACATGCCCTGCACCCTGATACCAACCAGCTATGCGCTAGACTTCTCTAACCACAAATTCCCCACGAAACTTGAAATCTTTGTACATCTAACTAATGGAAACTCAAGGTACGAGATAAGATATGATTCCCTTCATGCAGGCCACGAAAAAGACTTTCATTTTTTTTTTCCTCTCCTCGTGGCTGAATTACTCTACTTATGCCTTTGGGCTGCTTTCCTCTTAAGGATCCAACGACTAGATAAATCTCACCTGAAAGGTGAACCTATCGAAACGGGAAGCACGTTGTACTCAAAACTTTACGTACTACCTGATTAAAAGGCCCACCCAGCTGTTGCGCAGGCGCCTTAACTGCCGCCGACTCTGGCTTAGGGCGCTTGGTTCTTTTCTCGCGCCTTCACTCTTCTCAGGCTCTTTCCCAGTCTTCCATTCGAACTTCCCGGTTGTGACTCACTTCACCAATCACAAACGTTCTCCCTCCGGCCCCGCCCTGCCATGGCCCCCTCCGGAACTCGGGCGCAGGTTCGCGCACACCCCTCCTTTCCTTACGCACGCTGCGCGCTGATATCAGCCCCTGACGTCATTGTCGTCCGGCGCCGCTGCCTCCTCTGCCACTCCCGCCGGCCGTTGGGCTGCTTGCCGAAGTCCCGCCCCCAGATCACCCCCACCTCGGAACCGCTCTAGTGGCGGCGACCCATGTGGGGGTTCAGGTTCCTGCGGTCCCCGCCGCTGCTCCTCCTGCTGCCGCAGCTCGGAATCGGAGACGCCTTGTCCTGCCTGCAGGCCAGAACCATGAACCCGGGCGGCAGCAGTGGTGCACGATGCTCCTCCGCGGTCGAGGGACGCCGCCAGCAGTGCCTGCAGTTGTCCACTGTGCCAGGAGCCGACCCGCAGCGCACTAACGAGGTGCTCCTGCTGGCGTCAGTGAGAGAGGGATCAGACCGGCAGGACCTCCCTAGGGATCCGGCAAAGGAGGAACCGCAACCGCCGCCCCAGCATCACGTTCTCTATTTTCCCGGGGATGTACAGGTAATTGGGGCCTAGGCACCTGTTCCCCCCTATGGATTCACTGGGTTCTCTTGTGGCTGTTGCCCGGTTTCTTCCCTTCCTGAACACACCCACAGTTGGGCTCATGCTTCCGTTATTTCATGAAATCCCAAATCGTCCCTTCTACACCCCTGACCCCTTTCCCATGGAAACCCAGGGGAAATTGTCCTTGGAGGGACCATTGCTAAAGAGCCAGCTGTCAATCCAGGCATCACAGGGTGGAATTTGAGATGTACAGGGAATGAGACGTGTAATGAATGCTCATTTTTAACTTAGTTTCTTAGAAGACACTGTGTGTGGTGTGTGAGTGTGTACGTGTGTTAGGCAGGGGACAGAGAGATGGCTTTTAGATTAACTCAGCACCAGAACATAGTGTTTAGGAAACGCTGATGGCAATTTTAAAACAGGCAAACAAAAAACCCATTACAGAGGCATGACACTTCCAATAATCCTAAAAAATGTTGGGTGATGGTGGAAGAAAAGGGACAGTAATTGCTAAGTATGTCCATATTTTGATGTTCACCTAAATTTTCTTTATGTTTTTTATCTTTATTATTAATTTTATAGCTGCAGGCTTGTCTTTATTATTACTTCGATAGCTGCAGGCAAATATTCATCGTTATGCTGTCTTGGAAGCTGGGTGTTAATCCAGAACTGCACTGTTTAACACATTAGCTGTAATTAAGTAAAATTATTATTATTAAGTAAAAATCCAGTTTGTCAGTCATCCTAGTTGCACTGTAAGTGCTCAGTTACTAGAGGTGGCAGGTGTGTACTGTATTGAACAGTGCAGATAGACACTATTTCCATAGAATTTGAAACTTTCTATGATCACATAAAGTTCTGTTAGCACTAGTAGACAGGTAAAGCTAAAATATAGCTAGATGGGTTTTTTATACCATGAAACAATATTCTTGTTTTTGAAATTGATGCTTTAACACAATATATTTAACTTCCACCCATGAGTCAAATAACGGTAAAATATATGTAGTGTTTTCCCTTGCCCTCAAAATAAGGGACTCGTTTGGTTGACTAAACATATTCCTGAACTTTAGACTTGCCAATTGCATGCATTGTATTTTTTCCTCTATCTTCGCTCCCCTAATGATCTCTTAGTCTTGTGTTCTTACTTATCACCTACACCAAGACAACCCTTGACATTTGTGTATCTGGCCTATGAAAAACTAGTATTTAGATTTAAGAAAAAATTTACAATTTTATTCCTTTGTAGTCTGGTTGGGAAAACAGCATTTGATATTTCTGACACTGATTTCCAGAGATTTGTGACCAACTACTGCAGGCATGCTTATAGCAATGATGATAATGGTAATGATAATTAATGTTTATTAAGCACTTCTTGTTTTTAAAGTGTACCAGACAGAATATAAGTCTTCAGATGAGATTTAAAGAGTTCTACAGTAGTTTCATCTGAACATCTTTTCTTTATGTAGTCTCAGATTCTATTAGATTTTTGTATAGTGATACACTTAATTTGTGCATTGCATGGAGTACTCTATAAACCTTAGGTCTTCTAGAAGAGAAATAGGCTTTGAGGTCAAATTGCCTAGATTTGAACCCAAATTCTCTATATTTTAGCCATGAAATCTCTGGCAATTCTTAAATCTCTCAGTATTTCAGCTATAAAATGAGAGTAATAGTTTATAGAGAGTTAATGGAGATTAAATATGTTATTTCCTAATAAGTTCCAGTCCCTTCTCATCCTTCTGGGCACTTTTTAAATTATTTGAATACCCTAGTGTTTCATTCTTGTACTTTTTCCTCTATCTTCACTCCCCTAGTGATCTTTCAGTCTTGTGTTCTTACTTATCAATTAACCAAGACAACCCTTGACATTTGTATATCTGGCCTAAACATATTCCTGAACTTTAAGCTTGCCAATTGCATGCAGTTATTTCCTTTTGGGTATTTAATAGATATCTCAAACTAAAACCACTGGATATTTACCTCAGTACAATCTTCCTTATTCTAGTTGGAAATTACCTTTTCAGTTGCTCAAGTCATCCTTTAGATCTTTCTTTCATACCTCATTTTCTAATCCATCTACAAATCCAGACTATTATTATGTATGGATATATGACTTGTTAATCCTTTCATAACTGGATAAATTCCAATTTTAACTTTAAAAATTTTGCTTTGCTAAAGAGTAGGATATGTAGATGACCATGTCCTAAGCAGTGTGCGCTAGCCATGTACCCTGGGGCTTTCTGTGCTCTATCAGGCAGCCCTTTTAGGTTGGATCCTGTTCTGGTCACTCTAGCTTGCTTGCTTGGGATGTGCACTTTATGCCAGCAAAAATGCTCTCTTGATGCATTTTTGATGGAATTGTAGCTTATACCTAATGTAGTTCTCCTCACTCTGCTGTAAGGGTAGACCACCCAGTTTAAATCTTTATGAAGATTTCTGGACTCTCAGAGACATGTTCAAGTTTTTCAGAAAATCCTTTAACCCTTAATTCAATGGCAGTGATGTGGTGGTCCTGTTAAGTCTTTGCAAGTCAGCAAGAATCTAACTGGAGTAAGCACCTCTTAATCTCTCCCAGAGATCTCCCAGACATCATTTTTATCATAGTAGCAAAGTGCCTATGATTTTGTGATAATTGTGTATATCATAAATCTGAATATATAGAAGGTAAGAGCAAAATTCACAAAAAAGTCAAATGATACAATCTTCTGAGAATAAATTTTTAAAATATATTTGGAAGATTCCTTAGAAAACTGGGAATGGAACCATCATTTGACCAGGCTATCCCACTCCTCAGTCTATATCCAAAGGACTTAAAAACAGCATACTGCAGTGATGAAGCCACATCAATGTTTATAGCAGCTCAATTCACAATAGCTAAACTGTGGAACCAACCTACATGCCCTTCAGTAGATGAATGGATAAAGAAAATGGAATATACATACATACACAATGGAATATTCTTCAGTAAATTCTTTTTAATGGAAAAAATATATACACACATATATATGGAAAACCACTGATATTAATGGAATAAAACTATTATGAAGGAGTTGAGCATACCAGTGGGAAAAGTATCAAAGAACATGAATAGAGAATTAACAAATGAAAATTGCTAAGAAATAAAACCCCAATTAGGAATCAAAGCATGCAAATTTAATCAAAACTAAGACATCATTTTTATCATAGTAGCAAAGATTTTTAAAATATTAATACAGATAAACATTAGCATTAAGGATGGGTACAGATGGAGGGTCCCTCTAGTCTCCCATTTCTCTTCTTACTTTTAAATCTCTGTCCTTCCAGAGATGTTGTTTTTTGCATTTTTTTAGAAAACAAAAATGGTAGCATTGCAGTATTATTTTATTTCTTTCCCATAAATTGTATATTCAGTCCCTTAACAAATCCTATTGATCCCACTTTTAAAATAACTCACAGTGTGAACATTTCTCAGCACCTCTGTATCTACTACCACTCTATTTCAAACCACCTTTCTCATGGGGATTCTCTGTCTCCCTCCTTTAGCTCTTGCCCCTTTACACAGAGGAGGCAGAGTAATCCTTTCAAAATATAGACTGAATCAGTCCTCTGCTCCAAAACCTTTCAGAGCAGATGCCAAGTCCTCACAAGCTGGATTAGCACCTTCCCTCTTTTCCAGCCATCTTTGTGCCTTCCTTGTGATCACTTTTGCTCCTGTTTACTAGAGCCACAATGGCCTCATGGCTTTATCCTGCTTTTATCCCACATGTCTTCACCAGATGGCCTTTTGCAGCTATACTTCCCTCTGCCTGAACTATGCATGAGGCACACTCCCTCAATTCTTTCTTAACAGTCATCTTATTGGAGAAGCAGCTCCTGATCATTCTGTGTTAAATATTGATTTTTTTACCCTCCTATTCCTCTACATTCATTTCCATTGCACTTATCACCTTTTAATATGTCTTATCCAGTATGATAGTCACTAGCCACTTAGTATTAGCATTTACCCCTTTCTAATCACTTGTGGCTATTAACCACTTGAAATTGAAAAGAAACTAAACTCTTAATTGTAGTTTCAGTTCATTTATTAGGAAATTGGATCATATGTATACTAAATAAAATGTAGTAAACATATCCTTCTCAGTTATTTTTTAAAATTACTATTCAATGGAGGTATATCTTATTACCCTTTCTCTTAAATAGATTTGAGGCTTATTTTTTCAAAATCTTATAACAGAAAAGTAAAGACAAATTGTTTTCATTTCTAGAACATTAGCCATAGGTCATTGTTACCTCTTGATTTCCTCCACAAAGATGGGAAACTATTTTGTGGAAATAATTTTATGTCAATATATATTTAATGCTTATTTCATCTTTCTTACTTTTCAGAATTACCATGAAATTATGACTCGTCATCCTGAGAATTACCAGTGGGAAAACTGGAGTCTAGAAAACGTTGCCACCATTTTAGCCCACCGGTTCCCCAATAGTTATATTTGGGTGATAAAGTGTTCCCGAATGCATTTGCACAAATTCAGCTGCTATGACAATTTTGTGAAAAGCAACATGTTTGGTGCCCCAGAACACAGTACTGACTTTGGAGCTTTTAAGCACCTTTATATGTTATTGGTTAATGCTTTTAACTTAAGTCAGAATGGTTTGCTATCGAAGAATGGCAATGTTTGGAATAAGGACTCCAAAACATCTAACTGTAGATCTAATTCTTCTCCTACTACTAGTAATGGTTGCCAGGGAGAAAAAGAGAGGACCTGTGAAAAATCTAATGAGTCTGCCCCGAGTTTTAATCCACCATCACTAAATGGTGCATCTTTTACTTTGATTGGATTCAGTAAAGGTTGTGTTGTTTTGAATCAGTTGCTTTTTGAATTGAAAGAAGCCAAGAAAGACAAGAACATAGATGGTTTCATCAAAAGCATAAGAACGATGTATTGGCTGGATGGTGGTCATTCTGGAGGAAGCAATACATGGGTTACATATCCAGAAGTCTTGAAAGAATTTGCACAAACAGGGATTATTGTTCATACCCACGTAACACCTTACCAAGTACGTGATCCAATGAGATCTTGGATTGGAAAGGAGCACAAGAAATTTGTTCAGATACTTGAGGATTTTGGTATGCAGGTGACTAGTCAAATTCATTTTGCAAAGGAAGCTCCTTCTATAGAGAATCACTTTAGGGTTCATGAGGTATTTTGAGACTACAAGAATATTAATGTACTTGTTTAGAGGAAAAGCATATGCACTTTGAGTGCTGTAAATTCAGATAATGACATGTAAGATGCAATTTATAAATGCATTGTCAGTCTGGGGATTAGGGAGAAGCACACATTCCTAAAATATGGGTACAATATGCAATAGTATTCCTTGCTTGTGATTGTGAACAGTTTTTAATTTGGATTGGGTTAGAATTAGTTAATTTGAAATCTAAAAAGGTGGTTTGTGATAATCCTATGAGAAAATATAGGACCCTTAAAAATGAAGGTTAATGATAACTAAAATTGCTGTTGTTGGAAATCGTTGATTCTTTGAGTAATGTTTCAAACAAAATTTGGTGACATTATAACAGCAGTTAGCTATTTTGGCACTGAAAACTTGAATGGAAGCACTTCATTTCTCTTCAGACAAAGCAAAAACACCCTGATGTTTTCCATCATTTTGGAGTAACAATCCTGCCTCTTATGTTTTATAAACTTATGGATTCATTCTTAATGTGCCACAAGTGTTTTATTTTCTTGAGAGTCAAATATATTTCCAGTTCTCCAAGAATGTGCAATAGCATAAAGCTGATTTTTTAAGCTTTACACTTATACACTGTGGCTTAATTTTTAATTGACAGTTTTTAATTGACTGTTTTGGGGTTTCTTAAATATTGGCCAAAATACAGTTGTTTTTGAAAATTGGTTTAAATTGAATATAATTATATATATATTTGATAAAAACATACTACAGAGTAGATTTCAAATTTTCATTGTATTAGTATTTTGAAAGAGATCAACTTAGGTAAAATAAATATATAATACTCTATCAGCTGCTCTATTGAAAAGGAAACAGATTCCATAGATCTAAATCAGTGTTTCTCCAGAAACATGATTTTGTCTGCCAAAAGAAAATAGCTCTCTTTGGCCAAAATGCAAAATTACATTGCTATAAGAAAAGTTACAAGGGAAAGTTTGAAGACACAAATGATTTAATTTTGGCTCAAAAACTGAATTTGCTTAACACTACTACATAATTTGGGTGAAGTTTCCTTCTGCCCGTTTTTCTTGACCTAGATAAATACATTTTGAGAAACCAAGTTCTAATGAATTTTAACCAACATTGGAATATGGCTGTGTGATTACAAAAGGTGACCTGTCACTTTTTTATAATTTATTAATAATGCTTTTGCAGGTCATGAAATAACTAAGCAGGGAAGTAATATGCTGCTTTAGGACTGATAAAAGTAAAATGCTAAAGATGACTATCTTAATGACCCAGAGGACCTAAATTTATTAAACAATATAAGGCAAAAATGTTTATTTATTGATTTCTTCCCAGAATTACATCTTAATGACTCTGAAATACATTCCAAATAGAGACTCATGAGAAAGGATTCTTAACCAGATACTTTAAAACAAACAATTCTATTAACTGTACAAGAGTAGTATCTAAATTTTTAAAATACCTTCTTTCCAGACCAAAAATTTCCATCACAGAAACAAGTTGAACAGATTCTAATATTTTATGTATTACCTGCCTTAAAGCGCCATGATTGGGTGGCTTTTTTCAATTTAATAATTCTTTTGTTAAATTCACTTATATCTAATAAAATAGCTGAGTTACTGAAATGAGCTAAGAAGGGACAAAGAAAAGGCTTTTCTTTTCACAGGCTTAACTAAACTGGAAAAATAGGACTTTTAATAGACAAATTCATTTTAAAATATGAAATATTTGAATCTGAATTCAGCTATCCAGTCACATGAATGCTTAATTATAATTGTTATATATCAAATGGAGGAGATATTAAGAATGACCCACTGGGTACCTAAAACTGCTATCACATCAAAGTGAGACAATATTGAAAAGTAAAAATATTTTCAGAAGTGAAATATATTCTAGTTGATTCATATACAAACATTTTGTTTGACACTTTAGATTGGTCCTTTCTCCACATTTAAAACTGTTATTGTAAATGTTAGTATATCCTCTTGGATTGTGCCTTTGTGATGTAAGAGTCAATTGAGAAAAGTAGTCCTACAAATAATGTGAAAGTTGTTACCACCACAGCATGAATGTATAATTGTATTAAAATTAATAATCTACAGAAGTGTGTTTTGATGTGCTTTATGTTGTCAACATTGTTAAAACTTCATATCATTTGAATGAATGGAAGCTTTATCTCTATCTTGCCAGTTTTGGTTTCTATATATGCTTTCCTTAACCTCCATGATTTTTCGAGTGAGCAACTCTGAAAATCTTTTCTATCCATTTTTTTTCTGTTGCATTTTTTAGAGCACTGAGTCTCTTTTAAGTTCTTCCTTTTCTTTGCTCATCATTTCAGGTATCTGTATTCTAGCTCCTTCAGAGAGTTTCTTAGAATTTATGTAGTATGATCCAGTTCATTTCATTTCATTCATGCACCAATGTCTGGGCATCCACCAAGAGCAAACAGAGTCTAGGCCATAAGGATATAGCACAAAGTCCCAGTGTGTTACTATGGAAATATGTAATAGATGAAAGGTAGAATGGATATAAAGAGAGAAATATGGAACAAAAGGTAGTAGTCATAAGCTAGTCTGTTTTATTTTCATTTGAGGGTCTTTAAGAAAAACATGCCTTAGAGGATGAGATATAAATAGCTTAATTTCTAAGTCTAGTTGCTCTATACAAGGGCAGAGAGGCCCAGCATAATAGGCAGTTCCTTAGGGAGGTCATTTTAGTTTCCTCTTGGATATATTTAAGATGCCCCAGCAGTCATGGCATGTATGCTTGAAACTAGACACACAACACCAGAGATGTATGCCTGACTGCTTATCTGTGTTAGTTCCTTCTGACCATATCTATTAGCACCAGAGGAAGGTGGCATGCAGCACAGTTACAATTCTATCCAGATCTGCCTTCTGACTTCCAATACCTTTTTCTTTGTTGTTACTAAACTCTGATTCATTCATCTTGGATATCTATTAAAACTTTTTATAGGTGAGAGAAAAACCTTGTTACTAGGTTCTTGAGAACTTAGGTTCACGTAGCTTTCGAGTAGGATGAAGATACAAATTAAGCGTTGTTGGCTCTGTTTTGATACCTCATGAAAGATGTTTGAAATTAATTACTGAGTAAGTAGAATTCAAATATACTCATGTATTGTTAATGTTCTAGAAAATTTAATAATTACACTTCATACATAATGCTTTAAAAATGTATTTTGAAAGGATGATATGAACAAAAATTCAAGTAATACAAAACTGCCAGTCTTGCCATTGGCTCTTCAGCCTCTTCTCAGAGGCAACCACTATCCTAGTTTCTTGTAAAGTCTTGCAGAGCTAATTCATGCCTATATAAATATTTACACACAGCACCTTATTTTACACAAATGGCAGCATATTTTGACACCTTTTGTATGAAGTTACATTGGGAAAATTTCACACCAGTACCTTTGCTTTAATCTTCAGCTGCACTGTTCCATTTTTTGTATTATATTCTGCTGCCTGCCTGCTTATTAGTTTTATTTTGAATCCTTGTATATATGAAGGTTTGTTGCAAAGAAAATTCTTTTGTACATCAGGTCCAGCTCCCAAACTAGCCAAAGAAAAGCTATCCAATCCATTCAGAAGTATTTGAGATATGCTACACATTAAGAAGAGAGAATATGTTCACTACCACTGAAATTAATCCCATCTTCTATCACAGCTGTGTGGATCTGGACAAGCATTTATACAATCTGGGTTGATTAGAATCCCTGTGAGGTCATCCTTAACATATACTGAGAAATATTTCATTCATTTGGCCTTAACCCCAAAGGCAAAAAATATTAAAATATCTCAATTTTAAAATGAACAGACCCTAACAAAAATACAACCTTAGAGATAATTTTAAAACTTCCCAGAGGGTTTATCTCTAGCCTTCCAAATGTAATACTACAAAAGGAGCTACCTCACACCTCTTAGCAAGAAAATTAAATAGCTAGCACTAGCCATCAACTGTTTCTGCTCTTAACTATCTCCTCTATTTTTTTGTTGAAACTTATGAAGCATTAGTTCTATTTTAAAGATGAGGAAAATAATCTTAAGAGGTTATTTAACTTCACCCAGTTTTCTTCCCCACTAACCAAAATAAAATAAAATGAATATTCAATAAGCCAAATGTAACTGGTTTACTGCCACATTTATACTTTGCACTGATTCTCATATTGGTTAAGAAAAGGGAAATTTAAAAAAAAGGAGGAAAGTTTATTAAAAGCGAACTATAAATACTGTACAAAACTAAGAGAATTTTGTCTTTCTTTTTTCTGAAACAACAGGAATCACTGAAGAAGTTCCTTGCTTAGTTTTAGAAATGAAGATCAAAATCTGGTAATTAGATTTGGCTAGTATATTAAAACGGTTCCTTTCTGAGAGACTTTTTATCACCTTTGTTGACCTTAGTTAATTCAGTAAGTTTTTCAAAAGATGCCTAGGAAAAATCAGAACTTTCCCTTTCTTGTTTATTGTGATTTGCATTTTATGCCTGAAATTACTCCAGCATAAAACATGAGTGAATGGATTATCTTCAATAGAGAAATTTAATTAAAATGCACCAAAAATGATGTACTCACAGAGATTGCTTTAGATGGGCACATTTGTGTTCAATAAATATACTTGGTCTTGTTTCAATGACATTGCAACATAATGGCTAGGTACAAAACAAAGAATAGCATAGAAGACACACAATGGCCCATTGTCTTCAAAGACAACATTAGGATCTTTCATTTAAAAACAAACATTTATTTAGAAAAAGACTAGGTAAAAATGTATTTAGTAGTTTGAAACTTTAATTAGGTTGATATTTACCATACATATAAACTAAAACTGATGTATTTTCTATATAAAAAAATTTTAAAAGAAGGCTGATTTGACATATCAGAATCAAAACCAGGATCAATTAAACATTTGTTTTGGATAAATCACAAAACTAATAATACAAACCCAGTGATTCTCAGTCCTGATTATGCATCAAAACAGCTTATAAGGTCTATTAGATACCTATACCAAATCCCAAATGTACTGAATATAACATATAACATAGTTGGAGCCTAGGCATGTATGTGTTCAAAAAAAAAAAAAGCCTCAAAAGATCCTGATTACATGCAAATGTAGTAGAAAACTTAGTTGGTTGTCCACCATTTTTCCTTTCCTATCAGAACCCTGGTTTTAAAAATTATCCATTTTGCCCCATCCATACCTCATAGGCCTCAAAAAGGATCCTATTCCCAGCTCCAGGAGACCTGACTAGCCTAAGGGTTATTTTATATCCTTTGCCTAGTGACTAGCTCAGGGATGGGCAGATCTAAGCTACTTTATACAGCAATAAGACCCAAGGATTTGGTAGCAAATTCTGGGAAATTTGCTACCAAATTTCCATATTAACACAGGATCACTGGAATCCAGCCAGATTCTTCTGCTGCATTTAAATGAAGATACACAAGGCCCCAACTACTGGCAATCATCCCATGACCACAAGGGTAGCCAGCCTTAGGATAACTGCCAATGCTGTGGCTAGAGAAAGAGGGAAAAAAATCTCCAAAGTTTGGTGACAATACCAAATCAATGGATTGGAAACACTGAAACCTATCAGAGACTTCATGTAATGAGAGTCAATATAGTTTCTTATTGCTGGAATCATTTTAAGTTGGATTTTTAATTATTTGGGTTTTTTTTGTTTGTGTGTTTGTTGGTGTTGAAGATCAAATCCAGGACCCTAAGCATATGTGTATCACCAACCTATATCCCTAGCCCAGTAATTTGCATCGTACAGCTAATGAGTAGTCCTAGTATGGCACTCTTTTAACAATCTGTATCAAGTAAAAACCATACCAAGACCCACATCATATTTAGTTAATCTGTAAATCTGAGACTGATTTATCTGTCCTATTTTAACAAAGAATGAATCTTTAAAAATTTATAACTTGTTATACTTTCTCAATGTCTGAACTAAATTTTATTAAAAGATTATGCATCACATTCACTTCATTATTTACTCAAAGTTCTTGCTGTAGGCTTTGTCTTGAATGTGTAAGACCATTCGCCGTGCATAGAAGTCCCTGTATTCCTCTGGTAATTCAGCCAGTGTTTTTAAGGCTCTGTCTAAAATTTGTGCAGCTCTTGATGCTGCTTTAGGATCTTTGTTTCCATAGGTGTCTGTTTTATCATAGCATTCAGATGGAAGGTGCTTCCAAAAGACATTCACTCCCACTCCAAACTCTTCAGAAATTACATTATGGAACCATAAAGCTGGAGAAAGTTTCAAAAAACAAGTTAAAAATAAAACCTACAGTTAAGAAAAAAAAAAAACCAAAATGTCACTGAAATATCACGAATTGCATATAGCCAATGTAAGAAATAATTCTTGTAACCAAATCCCTTCGTTAGCACACTCCCAGCTTCTAACAGAATCATTTTAACTTTTATGAATTGCCAAACCAATTTAAAGTGTCGAAACCCTTAGTTTAAAAATCTTTAGAAATAGCAATTTTTCCTTTATAACTTGATGGGCATAATAAAGCTATATTTATTTTGTAGTTCTCATCTGGGGCTATGTTTTGTGTTACTTGTTTACACTTCCTGAGTCATACAACTACATAAAAACTTTTTCTTGGTATACAGAACATTTCAATTATTTGAAAAGTATGACCTTTTCTCATTCAGTACAAGACTTTTGTTCTCAAAGACTTCATGTTCAAACTGTAATTTGGTTTTCTAACTTGCTTAAATTTGCATTCATTGTAGCTTCTTCAGTTTTATATTTCTAATGCAATTATAATCATGTTATATTTCAGCTCCTTTACAACAATTAGTACACAAAACTACAACAAATATTTTGATGGTGGAGGCGATGGGTAAAATATATTATATACCTAATTAATTTTTTATTTTCACTAAAAAGTTTACTTTGTTTTCAATTGAGTCTGTTTTCAAAATATGTGTCAGAGGCATGCTAAAGCAACACGACAATGTAACAAAGATGGAGTACTAATCATGTCAAACAATGTTTAATCTTATGCAAGGTTTAGAAAGAAAGATTTAAATTTTCGAATCAAACTCATTCTAAGAGTGCTTGAGGAAAAAGAAA